TCGAGCTTCCGAATTACTCAAATAGCAACCTAAAATTTGGACTTATGGTGCACAAAGCCACACTACTTGAGATTCGCATACAACTGGTTGTCACCTATTTCAACTGTAAAAGGTAAACTTGAACATCGATGAAGTTGCTCTCAGTTCAATTATGGACCAAGATGTCGTCGAAGATACAAGGAGCACGGTACTTAAGTGGTCTTAACACTTAAGTAACCATGCGTTTGAAAGTGGTCTCACGACAAGTGGGCGACACTTATACTATTCATCCAGTATTAAAATACATCTAGTAGGTAAAGCAATGCCATCTAGTTGTTGACATTTACATTAATATAAACTTAAACCTCATATAGACATTAAAACGTATACGAATCACGTTCATATACAAGGATAAGATCCATTTGCTCGTTTACTACTCAAGCTTTAAGATTTAGGCTTCTCAAGCTCTAGTCGCTGGGCCTGGAAGAGGTTAATCTTCGTTTCCGTATTAACATCGATTTAGTCATTAAAAGCTGGGTGAAGATTGACTTCAAGTGCTATCAAGTGTAGCGGAGCTACTTTTACTTTTTATTCAATGAAAGACTTTTCGAATCGTTGAGTCTCGAAGAATGCTATACTGAATCAAGACTAACTCAAAGTGCATCAAGTCTTTACAGACGTAATGTGTAGAAAATCTAATATAAATCCTTAGTCAGAGGAATCCTTCCAAACTCGTAAAGTCTCTCCATGTATTAATCTAAACAGACATAGACTTTGATTAATTTAAGTCTACCATAATTACTGAGACTCATATCTAAGCCTTTTTACAATCTTGTAAGTTTCTAGTCCTAGTTCAGGGTACCAAGACTCTAAGGAGTCATTTGCGCTAATGCCTTTGAGAGTACATAACCTTAACACATGCACTGACCCTTACTACCAAAGACGTCGGAACAAGACACACCCCTAAATTGATCAAAAGGATAGCTAAATGTATTTCCGATTTATAGTCATACAAAACTCACTGATGTCTTCAACATTGAAACTATGATATTGAATTTAATATTCATTATGGAAGTTCTTCTTGTGTAGTAAACAAGAACTAATCTGCCTCTGTGGAGACCCTGTTGCGATAGATATCCTTGAATCATAACCGATAGGGTACAGTGTTACTGCTTAGCGTAAGTGATACAACAGTACGCCTTATCAGTGACACTGATCTCTTTAGGTGTGAACCACGCCAACGTACCTGTTTACCTCAAGGAATTGTGTTTCTTCATTACACCCTCCTCTAACAAAAAGTCGATAACCTGAATTGAACTTCCTCATCTTTTCATTGAGATAACTTAGAGAAATGAGATAAACTTACGGTTATGGTTACGACACCTTGCGCATTAATAAGAAAATCTTCGCATTTTTTCGAGTCTTTGGAAGACGCAATACGAGAAGATGACATCGTTTATTTGACACGTCAGCGTCGTGCGAACCTTCGCGCATAGCGCCAAACTATTCTAGATAGAAGTGCGGCTCAAAAGCTAACAGCGTTGCGTGCTTTAACCACTTTATATGGTTTTATAATCACAAGCAAGCTCGATGAGCAACAACAACGCCGCTATATCAAGAATGTTGAGACAGCTAGACGTCTAATAGACTTAAGCTATTGCAGAGGCGCATTTGAACTACCGTTTTAAGCCTCTAAGCATGGATGAGTTGTTGTGAAAGTTCGCAGGGCAGCCCATGACTAATTGGCCCACCGGGTGCGAGGCTACGACGTCTGACGATATTTTCGAACGAGATGTTCTCGGAGACAGATCCTAAACGCCCAAATAGACAAATGATCTTCGAGTACTAGGCCAAGAAGTATGTGGTGTCTCTTTATAGCATAGAGAACGATCCCGGTCGTTTTGCACCCCGGCTATAGTATGGCCAAGGTAATGATGATAATACGTTTACTCGCTGTGATCATAGGGCATGTCGCTTGCCCAGCATGATAGCCCTTAGACCTAGCGGATCCACGACCAACATTTAGTTGAAGCGCAAAGTGCGCTAAATAATAAGCTACACTGCAGGCCAAAGGCCAGCTACGTTTTGCGTATTTACTCCTACGCAAAACTAGTTGCTGGGTAAACCACCACTGTTTTGACTGTGTAGACAGTCACGGGCTACCCTATATTGGTTAGCGAGCCGCAAACCCTTACACATTTTGGTAAAAGCGCGTTGGGATGAAAGTTGACCCTCAGTGCAGCCATCAAAAAGGTTAACGGTATTTGGGCAATCTTGCCGATGGGGCACCTCAGACTCTTATGATTTCTTGAACTCTGAGTTATCACTCCACTTCACCACAAATTGGTATTGACCTTGGGCCAAGCCGCTTCAGAAGCCTCTCCACATGGAGCTGCAAGTTGTTATACTCGTCGATAAACACAGGACAGAATTAGTGTGCCATTACAGGCTCATATAGACTTTTTGTCTGCGGTTGCGCAAATCAGAATGTCTTTCGCTCACGTGAAGACCGCACTAGATCAGATTTTGACTGAGAGAAAGCAACTTAAAGAGAAACTTGTTCAAGTACAATGCGCTCTCGAACAGTCATCGACTAAGTTGGCTATCTTGCGTGAGCAGATGAACCGTCTAGATTCGATCGTTTCGGTCAACTTGCGACATCGGTATGTACAATACAAACTGCCACGGCTGGATGGCCAGGTGGAGCTCTCAACAGCTAGTGAGGACGACTTTCCAGCCTCAGGAGAAAGCTCCTTTCGGTCCGCGAGAGAAGGATAATGATACGGACTATGCATGCCAACTTAAAAACACTGGGTTTGTGCGAAACATGCGTAAGAGATTGAGTATATAGTCAAGGCCTTACTTCGCTATGACTGTAAACGGCCCAATAAACCGCGAATATAATTTCGTCGTAAAGACGGCAGACACTACATTTGTAAATACATTTTTAGCATTACATGTAAATTCTTAAAAGATTTTGTTTCTTACTTCGTAAGAATAAATATATCCTCTGCCCTAAGCATCAGCTTGTTCTTTTTGTTGTTTTTCCTTACATCCATTGCATCCGGCACATGGCAAAAGACACTAGAGCTCGTCGCAATAGACTTGATAAATTGTTTCTGCATCGTGGCAGGGCTAATTTTAGCAAACTCACCAACAGACTCTAACTTTTCAAGCCCAGACCACGTAATGGTAACGTGAACGGAACGAGGGGGGGTGCGTGAGGCTATTTACATGGAATTAAGCAATCCCGTTGAAGGCCTGAACAGTTTTGCTCAGCCTAAACTCAATGAAAGGTAGTATCGAGCTTCAAGAATTAAGATAATCAGCACGAATACTGCGAATAATATTCCAATGGCGCGATTGACCCGCTCAGGATGACTATCGGTCTACGAATGATCCGCTGTGGTCATGTCCAATCGCGTGCCGAGTACCTTGTAGGTAAAAGTATTAAATTTGCCGTTGAAGCGAGGACCGTTATCAGATATGATTGCAAGCGACAACGCGTGTTGAATGAACCACACGGTGAATAAACGGCATAGCTTTCCTTTGCTATTGATCGAATCCTGCACTGCTTCAGGGTAAGCTGTCGTGCGTAAACGGTCGACAAAGACCACTACCTCCCATATTGCGACACACAATCAGTACTGTGGACTCCCAACACACCGCGTACATTGGTAAATTGGCAAGTGGAGCAGCTATGTGTGCCAAGGGGGTTGACCCACTGGAACGATTCGCTTGCACGCACGTATGTACTCACCCAATTATAGAGTTTAGGCATTTAGTAGTGTTGACTCACAGAGTCACAGGTCTTTTCCCGACCTAAATGTCAACCAACGGCAGTATCATGGACCTCACAGGGGATTCGATACTCTGGGTTCTCCATGTGAGGCACAACAATGCGAGCGATATCCGCTACATATGTGTGATAGCCTAAGGGGCCAATATCAATGGAATTTTGATGTAGGCTGGCCTACAAACGTGCCGATAAAACCATGTACGAGTCCTTGTATGCCTCACTTCAAAGGGTATAAAACAATGACACTCATCAAGGAAGCCGTGGCTAGAAATAAAAGAATCAACTCCTCAAAAGGAGACGACAAAGTCGTGATATGAGTAGACTCAAAATAAGTTCGGCAAAAGAGAACGTATTACACCACATTTTGTTTGCCTGGCTTACATTTAACCTCGAAGTTACATTCCGCAAAAAGAAAAGCCAATGAGCCACTATCTGATAGATTTGAGGCGACTGTGACGCCGTGGTAATGACGCATGATCCGCTTGAACGAAGAATGGCTTAAAGCCAAGCAGATGAGTTTAAATTTGACGTGCCAATAGCTCATAGCAAGCCGCTTTTCGTCATGACCTGGGAATTGTTTTTCAGTAGCCTTCAGCTGACAAGATCCATGTGCATTTACTTTCTCGCGGCCCGCAGCATCTATTGTAACAGGGCGCTGCCGATGGCAAAGTTGTATGCATCGCTAAAATACTGAAAGGGTACTCCGGATTTGGCAATTACCAACTAGGAGCATGGATGTAACGGGGTGAATCGTTACATAACAATTTATAAGAAATTGTTAATAGAATATAACTATAAGAGTTATATTCTCAGAATATTGTCATAAGGACAATATTCTGTAGCACTTCCAAGTAGTTCCTAATTGGTTGATATAGGCCATTATATCAACCAACGAAGACGCGCCACGACAGACGCACGCAATGAGTGGTGAGCAGATAACTGATTTACACATTTGTATTTAGACATAGTTAGATGAAGATAAATAGTGATTTATTGCAGACATTAACTATTATAAATACAGTTCTACTTTTTACTCTAACCGAGTACTCGCTTCTTCTTACCGTCTTCCTCTGCACGTACGAGTGTACGTGAAGTTACGAGGCACCGCCTTATTCTGTTATCAGAATAAGTAGCTTGTACTGTCACCAGTACAAGCTTCAGGGTGCCCCGTTACACCTGGTAGCACTTCGTAGTCCGTCCAAGGACCGCGTTCACATCCAACATGAATATGTTGGATGATGAAGATGACCAAAGCTTTCACGCTACGCGTGACGGCTACTCCCATTTGAGCGATGTCGAATGGGATGCGGTTGAACGAATGGGTTCGACCATGGGCATCCATGCTGTTAGCGTCATGCTAGAGGCTCTCAATAGAGATGCCCAACATGCTACTATCGCCAAGTTAATTCAAAATGAACTTGACGCAGAACGCGAGAAAGTAGCCTTGCTTCACCAACAAGGTTCTCAACAAGCAGAGTTGTTGAGAGAACAAGGTGCTCAACAGTTTGAACTGTTGAGACAGCAGCAGGCTGCTGCTGGCGGGTCGATGCACTCGCGTCGGCCCGAGACTTTGAAGATTGACATCTCAAAGTATAGGGGGATCGAAGAAGACTCCCTCTTGAGATGGTTCGTCGAATTGGATGACGCCATAAGGGCGCGTCGCATCGACGACGGGGATATGCAAGTTGCATTTGCCCAGTCAAATCTGGCAGGACGTGCCAAGACTTGGGCACTGGGGCTCAAGCTGCCACGACCCATATGCGTTTGGGTCGTTGGAAGTCTTCAAGTCGCGGCTCAGACAAACGTTTGAACCGCCTAGAGCTGAGTTCAGAGCTCGAACCGAACTCTTGAAGCTCAAGCAGGGTAAGCGTGATGTGCACGCTTACGCTCAACATATACGACATCTCACGAGTTGTATAAGTTCCAATCCGGTGGATGAACACACGTTGGTTTCGGTGTTCATGCAGGGTCTTGCGGATGGTCCCGTCAAGACTCACCTGTTCCGGCTTGAACTAGATTCACTAGAACAAGCCATTTCAATTGCGGAGCAGGAAGACTTCAGTCTGAGACAGGCTCGCGCCAGCTCGACATCATATCGTCAACCGAGACGATATGACAACGGAGGTCCAGAGCCGATGGAACTCTGTTATTTAGAGAGCGAGAAGGTTCGCTCTACAGGCTACAAGAAGTTGCAGAGATGCAACAGATGTCAGAAGACAGGACACTACGCTTACGAGTGTAGTGCCCCTCGTCCAGTGTCTCGCGACACTGGGCGTAGTGACCGTCCACCCATGAGAAAGGGGCAGGGACGAGGGTCCGCAGTTGGTGCAAAGACGCAACAACGGGATGGACCGTCAAAAAACGGACAGGATCAGTAGGTGCGGAGCACCCTACTGATCCAGCAACGTCAAGAGAATTTGTAGGCCTCTTGATGAAGGTTGCTCCCAACACACAGACATTGTGCGTTGCTGCTCTAGGTAATGAGATCTCACTCATTACCTTGAAACTCGAAGTGACGAATAAGTTGTCCCTTCGAGCTCTAGTCGATTGTGGGGCGTCCAACAATTTTGTGCGACGCCAATCGCTAGAAGATGGTCACTTTAAATTCAGTGAATGTGACACACCTCCTACGAGGATGACGGTACGTCTTGCGACAGGCGCATCCGTAACCGTCATGAAGCGTATAGTGAAGATTCACTATACACTAGAAGATACCCAATACGACGATGACTTTATCGTATTGGATTTGGATGACAAATTTGATGTCATCCTTGGAATACCGTGGCTCAGAAGGTACGAACCACAGGTAAACTGGCAACATCGGACAGTAACGATGCCTGCCGCTTGTTCATCAGATGGCCATCTGATGAACGTTTTGGAGCGTCCACAAGCGTGTGGATGTACTACGAGTGAGTGCGATGGCCTCACTTGTGGTACGGTCGTTAGTACGACTGCACAAAACCTTAGTGTACCAAACGGTTACACTTCGGAGCCAAGTTCCGGCGGCTGTGAGGAAACACAGGCTGCGCCGAAGGTCCACCACTCGAATAAGTCGGGTGGAATGGGACAAAGATGTATCCCTAGAGGGGAACATCTAGAAGAGAAACAATCGATCGCTCAGGTTAAGCGAAACGATAATCCTAGATCGACTGGAGAGTCTTTCGTAGAGGATCTCGCTGTGGTTGCGCAACCCCAGCTAGAGGAAGTAAAGGGAATAAGTCCCAAGATTACAAATACGGCGGAAATAAGTTCCCCGAAACCCGCGGGAATAAGTCCCCGGGAAGACGAAGGAATAAGTCCTTCGAAGCCTGAGGGAATAAGTCCCCAGGAAATGACAGAGACATTGAATGTCATAGTCAATAACGGATCATGTGTAGGCGCTTATACACTTGATCTGATTGCGCCTCCGAAGTTAACTTCGGAGATCACTCAGTTGCCAACGCTCGAACATAAAAGATTCTTGCGTGATCTGCGTAGTGGCAAAGTCAAGCAGATCTGCATACTCGTCGCTGACGACGAGTATGTAACCGACATAAGGTCAGCAACAGTGTTTACTGAGAACGAGAGAGTTCTCAGTAGTTCATCTATGGAAGAGAGTGTCCTAGATGAAAAGACACGAATTGAGCGATATGAGTCCCAATCATGGGAATCGCTCAAGAAAAATCCTCTCTATGAAGATTTGGTTGAATTCAAGGATGTATTCCCTGAAACTGTTCCGTGCGAATTACCGAAGGATAAAGGTATTCGACACGAAGTCGAGCTTAAACCAGGCTCGAAGTACTGTGTCATGAAGCAGTGGCCACTGCCTCGTGAACAAGTACTTGCGATCGACAAGTTCTTTGCCGATCGTTTAGCAGCGGGCCATGTGAGGGAATCAACTTCCCCACATAGCTCTCCGACCTTCTGTGTGCGAAAAGCAACAGGAGGGTGGCGGATAGTGCACGCGTTTAACAAATTGAACGCTGCAACGGTACCGGCTCAGACGCCGATACCGAGGAAGGACGTAATCATTGATGGTATGTCAAAGAGTACCATCTTTTCGTCCATGGATTTGATGGATGGCTTCTATCAAATCCTAATGCGGGAACAGGATATACCCTATACCGCAGTTAGCACGCCTAGCGGCATGCTCTGGGAATGGCTAGTAATGCCACAAGGGCTCAGTAATGCCCCTGCCACGTTCAACAGGTGTGTATCACATCTGTTGAGGCCAGTACGAGAATTCGCGCCGAGTTATTTCGATGACGTATTCATCCATAGTCGAGCTATGGATGGAAAGTCGGACGTTGAGGTTCACAAGTACCACGTCCGACAAGTTCTTACAATCATGCGAAAGCATCAATTGTATGCAAACCTCAAGAAGTGTATATTTGCAGCAAGCGAAATACCACTTCTTGGGTGCATCGTTGGTAAGAACGGTGTACGTCCTGATCCCGAAAAGATCAAGGCGATCACCGACTGGCCCGTGCCGGTCGATGTCAAAGGTCTTCGAAAATTCCTTGGGCTAGCGGCGTATTTGCATAATTATTCACGCAATTACGCCGAGATGACTGTACACCTCTCTCGTTTGTTGAAAAAGAACGAGAGGTGGTTATGGAACGCTGAATGTCAACGCTCCTTTGAGGGTATCAAGCAGAGCTTGATACAATCCCCAGTCCTAGCAATAGCCGATCAGGACAGGCCATTTCATGTGGTCTGTGATGCCAGCGATTTCGCAATCGGCTGTGCATTAATGCAGTACGACCTTGAAGGCGTTGAACGCGTCGTCTGCTATCAGTCGCGTCAGCTGCAACCAGCTGAGCGGAACTATCCAGTGCATGACAAGGAACTCCTTGCCATGAAGTATGCACTCGCGAAGTTCAGAGTCTATCTATTAGGAGATAGACCCTTCATTGTTTACACTGACCATGCGTCCTTACGCACGGCAGTGAACAGCCCGCACCTTTCACAACGAATGGCGCGGTGGTTGTCATTCTTTGCAGAATACAACTTTACGGTAGAGTACAAACCAGGACGACTTAATGTCGTCGCTGATGCACTCTCACGTCGTCCCGACTTTGAAACAGTCGCGAAACCCAACAGTGAGACAGTCACTGTTGCGGTTATGACGTCCTCAGTTCCATCTACAACGTTGTATGATGATGTGAGGCGGGCATACGCCCAAGATGGTGAGATAGTGAAGTTGTTGACACATCTCTCCCAACCATCTCGAGAATCGTTGAAACGATTGTCGTCTGCGTATCGATCTGCATCAGATCGATACACTACTCGTAACGGTTTACTGTACTATACAGCCGTTTCTGGTGACACACCACGTGTTGTCATTCCAGATGATATTGATCTGCGTTTGCGGATCATGTTCGAGTATCACGATGCTCCTATAGGAGGACATCGTGGCCGAGAGAAAACATATCTCACGGTAAGTCGAGACTTTTACTGGCCCCGCCAGTATCAGTTTGTGCGAAAGTATGTTCGCGCATGCGAAGTCTGCCAACGAGTGAAGTCAAGTCCTTCACTGCGTGCACCTTTACAGCCTCTACCGGTTCCGGCTGAGTGCTGGGAATCCATCTCAATGGATTTCGTCTTCAGGTTACCCAAAGACGCACGCGGGAATACGGGTATTCTCGTATTTGTTGACAGACTCAGCAAAATGGTACACCTTGTGGCTGTACCAGAGACAATCACGGCAAGTGGCTGTGCTTGTGTCTTTATTGACACCATCTTCCGACTTCATGGGTTGCCCCGTGAACTCGTATCAGACAGAGATCCACGATTCACTGCTGATTTCTGGCGTTCCGTGTTCAAATCACTCGGAACGCGCTTGAAGATGTCGACATCTGATCATCCAGAGTCAGATGGTCAGACGGAACGTGCCAATCGTGTCCTTGAAGAGATACTTCGAGGATACGTACACTCCTTTAAGAGTTGGAGTGAGTTTTTGCCGATGGTAGAGTTTGCCATCAACAACTCGGTGCATGCGTCCACGACACATACACCGTTTTACGTGAATGGCTTGCGCCATCCGCGTGTACCCACCTTACTAGAGTGTAACTCTGGTTTAAGGGGGGAGGGACTCGCGCGAGCAAAAACCGATTTGGTTCACGCTCATCACGCTCTGACGAAGAAGTCATTGCGTTTGATGCCGATATCGATAACATCGATATCGAAGAAGATGATGCCAGTGAGAGTGCGGAAGCCCTCACTGAAGACAATGATCCCAGTGAGAGTGCGGAAGCCCTCACTGAAGAAAAGGTTGTTGTCGCTGCAGTGCGCTCACAGCACACTGAAGCTAACGAGTCATCAGATGAGTTCATACTGGCTCGTGAAACGGTAGTCCGTTTTGTGCAAGACTCCATCGCCGAAGCGGTGGATAAGCAAAAGCAAAACGCTGACAAGAATGGAAGGGCAAACACTCTTTTATTTAATAAAGGTGACTTAGTCCTACTGTCTACGGTTAATCTACCAAAACATGTAGTGACTAACTTGGGTAGCAGTAAACTACTACCCAAGTACATTGGCCCATTTCGTGTATTGCACCGCCTAGGCAATGCATACACGATCGAGTTACCACGTAAGATGCGAACGCATCCCACGTTTTACGTTGGTCGGCTTAAGCCGTACCATCAGTACGCTGCTTCTTCCGATGAAGAACGCCCTTGCGCTCAAGCATCTCGCAGAGAGCCTTGTGCTCCCGATGGTGGGCATCAACAAGGGTCTGAAGAGCAGTTATCTCAGCCCGAGACCGATCAACAATCCCACGAGCTACCCTTAGCTCGTCACGAAGAGATGTCAGAGATCTCTCGTTCTCAAGCTGAGCAAAGGCAAACTCAGCTCGATGCTTCGAGGCAGTGTCCACCATCTGGAGACGCCTATTCCGCTCATGCTCGAGATCGTCGCGTAACCCTTGCGTTACGCGATCAAAGAACTCTCGGGAACACACCGATCCACATGATCGTGTGGAGAGCGTCTTTCCTCCTCCTCCACCTCCATTAGAGGACTCTCGCGGTGGCCAGCGCTATCTAGTAGAGCAGCTGTTGAACCACCGCGACGTGAACGGACGTCGGACGAGTTATCTCGTCCGGTGGCGCGGCTATCCCCCGTCCTGGGATTCTTGGGAGCCCCGCTCCCAATTGATGGTTGACGTACTGGGTCTGGTCGAGCAGTACGACGCGACACATCCTGTGCCGCAGAAGGACCGCCGGAGAAAGTCTTCCCGGCACGGTCGTAAAGGGATTTCAGGTTGTCAATCCCTTCGTACATCTCAGTAGAGACACGTACGCGCCACCACGGGCTGGTAAGGAGGTAAGCCTCCTTAGGTGCTCGTGCAGAGTTGTTCACACAACATGGGCACGAGTCTCCCCAAGAGAGGCAGGGTAATCCTTTCTCCCTTGACAGACGATGCAGCTTATAGCGTGCACCTGTCGGGGTTCGCTTTTCAAACTTATCACGAGCTTTGATAAGTTTGTCGTTCCAAGCGTCACGACCTACATCCTCGAGATTATGGATGTAGGCGTTCCACGCCTGAAGTAGTGAGGGACCATCACGTTTGTGATTCCCACTGTACCATCGATGTCTGAAGAAAGCATCGATGAAGAACTCATGTTCAGCGCGATAGTCTTTCGCGCTGGGGTCAAGTGATGAATCCTTGACGAATCGAACAATCGTGTTCGATAACGATCACTCGTCGTCGCCGACAAGTGATCCATGACAGATTTAGGAGGCATCCATGCCTTCTTTTCTGGAGCGAGACGCAACACATTGCGGTCCCGCTCTTCCTGCGACGTGCCGACAGAAGTACTGGCACCTCGCTGTGAAGTGGTGTCCATTGGAGAAACGACACCACTATTAGCGCCCGAGTCTCGCGACCTCGAGCGCCTTCGCTTCGGCGATGGTTCATCTGACTCATCAGATGAACCAACGATGCTGCGACGCAAAGCATCGTCCATGCCACGCTTGGCAGGCGGCTTGGATTCAATTGCCGTCGATACGGATCCGTCATCCGTATCAGGAGAGTACGAGACACCGAGCTCGTACTCTGTGAAGACACGAGTGTCTTCATGACCAGCGCCTGCATCACCAGGTGATACAGGCTGAGTCGATTCAGCAACCGATGGGATATCAGTTGCTGTAGTTTCTGCTTCGGCGTCCGCACAGAGACGTGCAGACGCGCTCTCGGCGGCCTTGCTCGCGCATCGCATGGGCTTGTTTACCATGCGATGAGATGTTGGAAAGTGGACGCGGACCAACAAGTGCAAACCCCGTCCCAAATGATTTGGGACGAGTATCCATTTAGTCAATCAGTCACTATGGTGACTGATGGTTAAGAGGGGGTGATGTAACGGGGTGAATCGTTACATAACAATTTATAAGAAATTGTTAATAGAATATAACTATAAGAGTTATATTCTCAGAATATTGTCATAAGGACAATATTCTGTAGCACTTCCAAGTAGTTCCTAATTGGTTGATATAGGCCATTATATCAACCAACGAAGACGCGCCACGACAGACGCACGCAATGAGTGGTGAGCAGATAACTGATTTACACATTTGTATTTAGACATAGTTAGATGAAGATAAATAGTGATTTATTGCAGACATTAACTATTATAAATACAGTTCTACTTTTTACTCTAACCGAGTACTCGCTTCTTCTTACCGTCTTCCTCTGCACGTACGAGTGTACGTGAAGTTACGAGGCACCGCCTTATTCTGTTATCAGAATAAGTAGCTTGTACTGTCACCAGTACAAGCTTCAGGGTGCCCCATTACAATGGAGAATACTCTCTTATACTGCTTCAAATGCATCAGCATAGAGATTGTTCCAGAGTCTTTATATATGTCATTTTTCGCTAATAGTCAAGCCATATCTGCATAATTTTCAATGTATTTGTGTGAGAAATTGGCAAGGTTTAGCTACTTACGCAAATCATATTGATTCTTAGAAGTCGGCTAATATACGATAGCTTTGATCATAGCGAAATTCGCTCGAGGGCCGGCTTACCAATAAACATCCTATAAAAGAAATTCCTTCTGCATCAAAAATGCGTTTACAGCTTTGGCGTACAATACAATAGCGCGCGTGCACTTGAGCACAGCTCGCAAATGACCAATGTGATTTTAACATCGGACCGACCTTGATCGGCACGACTATGAAAAAAAATTGTCATTAAATTTTTGTGCGCTTATCACCATGTGAGCGGGAAAGTTGCATCATAAGACGATCAAACAATTCCAGACTATTAAATATCCGTGGAAGTATCACCAGCCATTCCCATAGCATACCTCTCGAAGCACTCACTGCTTTAAGGGGGATCACTCGCTCGCATCAGCAATTATTTAAGTCATTCGACCAAGTTGAGTGCGCTATACATAGTAAAAATTTACCACGTTTTTTCGAAGAATATTATATCGAGAAATGGGTGTCTGTGTCGGAATAGTAGCCGACTCGAGCTTGTTATAAGCTTGCATAATACGCCACTTGCCGTTAGGCTTTTTGACACAAAATGACGGTGGTAAATGGGGAGGTACACTCTCACGTACTATTTCTACCTTTTCCTTTACACGAAAGACGTCATCAACGACAACACATTGCTTCTAAGGCAAGTTCCAGAGTAGTTTGACGCAGTATTCAGTCCCACGAACTAATTTTATATTATGTCGAACACCTTTATTTAAAGATAAAACCGAGGGAAGGTCGTTAAATACCACATCTATAAATTTAGTGACTAAGGAATAAAAGTATTATGAGGGTCTTTCAATATTGATGACCCACCACGCGCACTGAGTGCTTCTTTTGTGTCATTAAAGGCGTTTTCATTCAAAATTCTGGAAGAGTTCAAATCTATAATAACGGGTCGATAACTTACCACCTCTGAAGGCTCGCCGTTCCGTGGTGGTAGAAGTCCGTAGGCTTGTTTCCCTCCGTGCAACTTCGAGCGCTTGCACTTGATGCATTTTCGGGACAACTCATTTTTGGACAAGACATGATTTCACGCCAACTGCACGAGGCAAATTGGAGTTACTTGTAAAAAAAACGGCGGTTTCGGGCTATCCTAGCTGACAACACACGCGAAAATACCAAACGGCTAGTGTACTTTTACCATCCCGGCGACCACATAATGATTCGAAGACCTAAACAGTTTCGCGCAAAGACTAAGGAAGTGGCAGATGGGCCCTACCCCATTAGCATTGTGCATGAAAATGGAACTGTCACTATTGACAAAGGCGCGACGACGCAACGGCTTCAAGTGAGCGATTGAACTCGTCAACTGGCAGCTCTTCGAGTTATAAAAAGACAAACTAACAAGGGTATAGCCTTAAGTCTAGCTGTATCCTCATAGACATCAGTCACCCCGTAGACAAGTGTATACAGCTGATAGTCATCAACATTTTGTGATACAGCATACTTTATGTAATATAAAATTCTGATCGATATTATCGTCAAATATAATATTCTCAAAGCTAGATCTGATGTCGTTCTCCACATTCGATGAAAAGTAGGTTTACACAACGTTATTTTCACATAAATTACGTGCCACTTAACGTGCATCCACTGAGCTGGGCTAGTGATGTCTTAGTATTTCGGCAACGACGTCAATATTGGCATTCGGCGTGTCGCTATCACAGCCAATATCGCTCAGTGGGTACTTATGTCCACTAAACGCTCATCTGGTGAGTTCAACACTTGATGAATATGCGATCGATTGACAAAAATTTTAGCATTCAATTCGTTGATATCACAACGACTATCACTTAGCGGACTACGTGCCGATGTACTATCAACCATCGAGCTTTGCTCTATACTCACGTCTTTGACATCCTCGGGATCAGCTAACTCTTACATTCCGATGTCCAGCTTACAGACATTTTTAGACATTGGCTCGCGTCAATAACACTTTTATTTTCTAGCATATGTAGGTTATGACTCTCCAAAGTCCCACTAGGGTCAGTGCGCGTGGCGTCTAATAATTTCTACGTCCATTCGGTTCATGGCTCATGGCGCCTAGACCATTCCATACTAAGAATAATATCATATCTCAAGTCCAAGTCAAGGACTGAACAACGTTCGATACTATTGAAGTCGAAGAACTTTACACTTAAGTTCATAGAAACTTTGGGTGTGGTGACAAGAGTCCCTGTCGCTAAAAAACAGTGATCATATCACCTTAATGTGCTTCTAGTACCTCAACACAGCGTAACCCCCCTTCCACAAAACATCGTTTGACATAATTATCGGCGACACCGGAGTCGATCAAAATTGACCAGGGTTTGTCAAAGTCCTTAACATTCACCTTTGCGACCAACAAGCCTGGCTTGTATTTGCGCCCTGTGTTATAGTGCACAAGACTCCTTGGGGCTTAATACGATTGCCACTACCTCCTAGAGGCTCAACAGAACCTATCTCCTCCCCAGAAGAGCGCTCCGTACCTAATGAAAGTCTACGTCTTCCCGTACCGTACCAAACTTCTATTTAGTGGCGGGAGTTCGGCTTGAAGAAGCATGGAGTGCCCTAAGTAACGAGCAATTATGTCGTAGATGCTTTGTGCTTCCTCACGTGAGACGTCGTCAAATGTCTCAATGTTGTTCTATAGTTTGAGAATCTGTTTCTTTTCCTTCTCGGCGAGACTGGTTTCCATAGGCTCAGGTCTATCGAACAAGCAAAATAAGCTTGCCGAGTTTATGTTGTAGCAATGGGTGCCAAAATGAGCTTGCCGAGTTAATGTTGTAGCAATGGGTGCCAAAATGAGCTTGCCGAGTTAATGTTGTAGCAATGGGTGCCAAAATGAGCTTGCCGAGTCAATGTTGTACCAATGGGTGCCAAAATAAGATGTCCTAAAGATAAACTCAGCGTTGAACGCGATATCCACAGCCTCCTAGAAGGAGGTGGGTTGGACCCGAAATGATTTTGCTGGAGCCACACCCGTATGAAGACCTTCCATGAAAATAGTAATCAGAACCTTTTCTGGTAAAGGATCAAGCTGCATGACAGCGATTAAACTTTGCAGCTCCTGGACACAGTCCGATCATTCTTTTTTGCCCTGACCTACGGATAGTAAACGAGAACGCAATCGGTTTGCCTGATTAGGCGGAGCAAATACTCGGTGATATTTGCTATTTTATTAAATCCCATGCGGTAAAAATATACTTCCAACGACGTGCTACACGTGATAGCCCAATCTTTGGCTCGATAACTTTGATTAAGATGGTCATCCCAACTCGCTGTTTCTCTACACGGAGCATAGTGGATTTCGTGGCCATTTCACCGCTCAGATCCACAGGAGGAGGTTCTCCTCCCCTTTTATCTTAAATGTCTTTACAGTCACGACAAGAAGGCGATCCCTTGGCCTTCATCTGGTATGGAAGCATGCTGAGTATGTACAGCCGATGCCAAATGGTTGTGTGCTTGCCAAATCAAAGTGGACTCAAACTACATATAAGCGTCAATACATTTACAAATCACGTCAGATCTTGTGCGAGGATTAGATCCACTTGTTTGCTTTTGACTAGCGCTCTGGGGTTTTTCAGCGCCTATCCCTGGGCCTTATAAAGTTTTGTTCTTGTTTTATCCATTCAGAGGGTCTCAACAGACACAGATGAAGATTGACTACAATGCTACCAGGTCTAGTGGAGCTACTTTTAATGCTTAGTCATAGAAAGACTTCTGGACTTGTAAAGTAAATAGGTGTATTAAACTATAGGGATATAGACTTTAAATATCTGAAGTCTTCCAGACTTGGTGATACTTAACTTTAAGTGTTTGCACAAGCCCTTGAGCTTCTAGTCCTGTTTCAAGGGAATACGACTCTAAAGAATCACGTGGCATTTGATGTCTGAGAGTACTTTACCGTAACACAGGCACTGAATCTTACGACCAGAGACGTACAAACAAGACACGTGTATAAAATTGATCAAAAGGGGAATTGAATGTATACACGCTGCTTCGTAGCAGTAATAAACCTCACTTATGTCTTTTACCTTGAAACTATGCTATCGAATCGAAGTCCTCATAAAATTTCTCATGATGTACCACACCAGTACTACATCGCCTCTATGAGGACCGTTTTACGATCGATATCCCTTAAGCATAACCGATAGGGTACGGTGTAACTGCTTAGCGTGTATGATACAATAGAACGCCTTTACAGTGACACTGATCTTTACTATGTGTACCATGCCAATGTAGCTGGGTATCATAGCCGTTTGAGTAACCCCATTACATAATGAGATATATACTATAAGTACCCATACAAGCTTGTAAGCTTTTCTCCTGGTTCTGGGGACTAATGACTCCAAGGAGTTAAGCGGCACTGTTTTCCAAAATGTACGAGCGATAACACCGGCTCTCAACCTTACAATCAAGACGTCTTTGCAAGACAGATGTCCTAATCTGGTCAAAAGGGAAATTGAATCAATGACTGATTCATAACGGTTATCAAACTTATCTACGTAATTTATTTTCAAACTCTACTTACCTCATCTAGGGATCCTAATATAGGTTCTTCTGATGTTACCACATCAGAAACTACCACGTGCTTAGAGTGTCTTTTACGATGATACCATCTAATCTTAAACGATAAGGTACGGGCGTTACCGCTTGCGTTTTGGATACGATGATACGCCTATCGGATACACTGACCTGCTGCGTGCATCACCCGAAACAATACCGGCAGCACCAAGCGACTCCTGCTCCGTTACAAGTATCGAACGAGAGAGCTCAAGCTTGCACTAGCAAGTGCTGCTGGATGCGTGAGGACCGTAAGTCAGAATGGATTACCTTTGCTAAGGTCTGTGTGTCAAACAAGACTATTCTATTGTGCAGTATATGTGGAAATCTTTCGAGCAAGAACCTTAGACTGAAGAATCAGAAAAAGAAGGCGTTGTATTGAAGAGTGTGCAACCCTTGTATCAGATGATCAATCCCAGGCTGGACATAAACTTGCTCCGTGCTAGAGCAGTACATTGTGAGCCGCATTGTTGCCAAAAAGTGCTGCACGAATGCGCGCTGTAAGCATCTTAGACAAACGCTGACATGTGTGCGCAAGTCTGAGCAGTCATATGATGAATATCTGATAGAGAGAGAGATGAAGGGAGAGAGAGATTATGATCCGACTTCAGAGGTCTGTGTGAAGGTCGACACCAAAAAAATTGTCCAGCTGTTTGTACCTCGACCTTATGCAGGTTTAAGTCACCATTTAGTTGTCATCAAGTACAGTTTAGTAGGAGGTAGAAAGCGTAAAGAGATCAGCGTTTGATGCAAACTCAGCGGGTACCGGAATGTAGAACTGATCCAGCAATGAAATGTACTGCTCTACTACTAAGATCATTCCGGCGAGAAAATTCTCTACAACACGCTCGCAGCAATTATGCGAATTCAAAATGAACACCGGCGTTCTCTCGGGACGTCGAAGTCCTCGAATCACTCCAGCGGTGCAAAAGGCCAAGCCTCTTTCAAGATCTCATTGAACACGACATCACCGAGGGGCATTTTGTCTCTGCCCCAGTCGACAGTTTCCAGTGCAGTGCGAGCTTCGTTCGTAAGCTGCTCCCACATGATCAGTGGCTGGAATTCACCACGATGCGTGGAACAGCTGAGTTGGTGATATGCATCCTCCACCTCGCTCTCATAGAAGAGTAGGATACTGTCACCGTCCATGAATTGAGCGTCAGGTGAAACAAGTTTTAGGTAATCTTTGTTTCTCCGCGGCGTCACCGCCAGAAGCTTCGGGTCTTTGAGCGCGATGTCGTCAAACCACAGGACGACATGCTCAAAAGCGTGACGGTAGCCATGGTTAAGATACTTCATGTCTTTTGGGAAGTACAACGCGTACACAATGGCCCATTTGTTTCCGAACGGAGCTGAACGCCCGTAGATCTGAGACCCAAATCCAGAACCTTTGCATTTGCCATCCGGTAATCCTTTTGGTTGGAGACCGCCGCTGTTACGACCCGCTGCGTCAACCGCCGCGTACGAGTGACACCCGTTTACAAAAAAGATCTGTGGTTTGAATCGCACGGCCGCCTTTTCGGCGGGTGTCTTGGGCTCCGGTTCAGCAAATGGCTGGATTTGGTCGTGGTGGAAATCGTTATCCTTCCATGATACCGAGGCCGGAGGTGGAGCAGGACCAGGCGGCTTAACTGGGGCATTTCTGGTACTCATCGACGGTTCTTGGGCTTGGACCGCAGCTGCTGCGAGCAGAGTGGGATACAAGAAAGACGAAGTCTTCATGTGAACTGCTACTGATTGTAGAGTCTCGTACTGGACGAATTGCAAACTGAACGAAAGCTGCTCTGCTGCAAGAGACGAATAAAAGAAAACAACACGACGACCGAAGCTCAGCGTGGAAAGTCCTCTGCTGCGACGTGTGGACGGAGACACATGATAGGAGAAAGTCGTTGTCCTTTACATCGTCCAGCATTCATTAGCTTACCTATCCACCGGACAAGCGAAACAACATGACCATCGTACGTGTGAGAGTGGATAGCCTCTGTTTCTCGTCGTCAGTTTGTCGTACTACCCTTGGCATCTGTTGTACAATGAAGCGACTTTTTCAAGGTCATGAAGTCCTTACAGCTGGGCATCATCTTGGCGAATTGACGCAACATGTGGAGGACATCCACTAGCAGCACCTTACTAACAACGAGGTGGCGACCAAAGAACCGTTTAAGTGTGCGCATAGACGCTATAAATGGAGGACATCCACCAGCAGAACTTTACTAACAACGACATGGCGACCAAAGAACCGTTATGTGTGCGCATAGACGCTATAGGTGGAGGACATCCACCAGCATCATGTTCTACTTCCGGCTTTACGTATTGTCACCAATGCACAGAGACAGCCGCCTCAACATATTGCGTTCGAACAGTTAGGGTACAATCTAGCGTCGAGCAGCTGATAAGGTCTTGTACGTGGCCGTTCGTCCGCCTTCGCGTAAACGTTCTGACCACACACTGGTGGAACCTTACTATAGAAGAGTGTCCGTGATTCAATATTCTCTAAGTAAATGATCTTTGTTACGTAATAAAAATGTCGAGTCCCATGTTGGGCGCAGGCTAAATATAAATAAACTTATTAAGTTTATTATCAAAGTCCGAGAAATGATACGCCATTCAAGTATAAAACTACTGCCGAAGGACCGCTACAAAAAGTTATCCAGAGTTCGTTGCCTGAGGGATTTTTGCGAAAGACTTTCCACCAGATATTGCATCTTCTGAACTATCCCTGAGCACTCATCACTCCTCTACAGGCTCCTGTTAAATCCAGAATGTCTTTAGCTCTGCACGCATCGATGCATCATTTGGAAGAGGGATGGGCGGTGCGGTCACGCCATCTTACTCCTTGCTAACACGTGTAGCAGCCTTCGCTTCAACCTTATTCCTCCCTAACCCTGCTATTTGGTAATATTCTTATTCAATCAAAGCTTGGCGGTCCCAGCCATATAAAATTATGGAGACTCTACTGTAACAACGAAATGGCAACCAAAGAATCCATTTGTGTACAACGATCGGTGGCCTCTTTCACTAGAAGCATCCGGGATATCGCTTGACAACCTGTCATCTTACGCTAGGCAACTGTCGAGTTTTGCTTTGCAATATGTCGGCCAGGCTGCTGTCCTGTCTTTTGGTTTTACATGCGTCCTCTTCACATTAAGAAACACCCACTCCGTGGATGCGTGCGCACCGGGCCGACTGTGGTAGTGTAACGTAATTACACAAACGTTGCGATAATGAGTTACGCTGGTGCGGTACACACAGAAAGAGATCAGTGTCACTGATCAGACGTACTATTGTATCACATACGCTAAGCAGTAACACCGTACCCTATCGGTTATGGTTAGAGAATATTGATCGTAAAACGGTATACATAGAGGCAGCGTAATTCTAGTGTACTACACAAGAAGAGCTTCCATAGATGACTATTCACTTGGATAGCATAGTTTCAAGGTAAAAGACATAAATGAGGTTTACTATCACTACAAATCAGTGAAGACATTCAGCTCCCCTTTCGATCATTTTAAGACACGTGTCTTGTTTAGACATCTTTAGTCGTACAAGTCAGTGCCTGTGTTAAGGTCAAGTACTCTCGGACATTAGTGCCACGTGATTCCTTGGAGTCGTAGTCCCTTACACAAGGACTAGAAGCTTAAGGGCTTGTACAAACACTTAGAACGAAGTCTTACACCATGTCTGAAAGCCTTCAGATACTCAAAGTCTATACCTATCAAGTTTAATGCACTAAGAGACTCTACGAGTTTAGAAATATTCTCGATGACTTAGGCGTTAGGGTAGCTTAGTTCCAGATGGGAAGTGGAAGTCAAATTGCAGTTGTGTCAAGACTACTATGAAGGACCCTTTACATTTTACAGTTTGTACGACGCTTTAGGTCAATTTTGATGGCATAAAGACGCTAAGGCTACACCTTTTATAAAAGAGAACAGTGAAGAATTACGAAATGATTTAATTTTATTATTAGTACGTAGCAAATACGCACAGGATCTGCCAATCACTTGGATCTAGTCAGGGAATTCCTCGTCGAGGCAGCTGTCGAGATGACAGCGAGTCCTCGTTCCCAGTCAACGAAATTAAGATTGTGCACTCAAATAGCAAATACAAACAAAACAAATGATAATTCTAATAATACACGTTATCGTGTGGGTACTCAGATCTGCAGGCTCTGCCGCTTTATACATCTTTAGCGATAGCCATTAAGCGCTTGTGTGTTGCCCTACCAAATTGGTTCAATTCCGGGGGGGCAAACCAACGGGGTTTTTTTTTTTCCCCCCCCCCCCATATTTAGACCAACCAAACGCCAAAATTTTTAACTCGGGGTTTTTCACCATTTGTACATCACGCCTTCCTTTATCAAAGAGCACTCGGTCGCGTCAACGACCATCCACCTGTCAAGTTATTTCTGCTGTAGCGCCAATATCGCGGAAGCAACATTTTTTGATAGGCCAGCTCTCTAGCGACCTACTCGATCGCATGTAATTGTCAATGACGTCTTCATGGTTTGCTCGCTGTGCTCCAGCACCACTGGTTGTAACTCTTAAATCTGCTCGCTGATGGCCGGATTTGATGTATGTTGATGTGTGGATGATGGATGGCACTTTCTGAATTGGTAATGTTTGCCAGCCAATTCTGAACTATGTATATTTGTCGATAGGTCTGACTTCTTGCTGATGAAACACGTGCCAGGTCGATCGCGAAGACGAGAGACCTGGTCGTGGAGGGATGTGCGTTAGATCTGGAGTTTGCAAAGATACCAGAACATTTGATGCTCCCGCCGAGCAGCCGAGACATCTCGTATTGCCTCTGCTGATTTCGGCAAAGGTACGCTTGTTCATTTGCTGCACGAGCTTGTTATGGGCATTTATTTATTTTGTGAACGTACTTCCTGTATACTCTGCATTGCGTCTTCATTTTGGAAGCAATCTCTTCCGAAGTCGGCAGGCGCTTGTAATAAAAGAAGTTAATGACAGGTGAAAGCGCGCAAAGTGTTTATTTTGATTGTGTAGTGACTAGCATCTTCTCCAGAAGCCAGTGTCGTCTAATTTTGATGGACTTAATTTCATTTTGTCGTTTTCATCATCGTTTGATATGTGATAGAAGTTCGTGTCAACATGCAAGACCATAATTGCTCATGCACGATTTTTGTAATTTCTATCACATATAGAATGAACAGTATGGTCATCCTCTTGGAGCGTTCCTTCTTGGCCGCTAAAAGTTACGGCTCCATCAAAAATTGATTTTCACCACATGATTCTCGAAAATATAAACATGCACCACAGGCAAGTGGAGAATGTCGTGATCACGTATCTATTTGATGTGCACAAATAATTTTCCTTTCATGTTAAACTAGAACGATCGCTTAATGCAAAATTAGCTAATCGACACAGCCGCGTAATGGAAAGGTGCGCATACCTGTAAATGTGACGCATAAGTAGCCAATGAAGGGGCAGAAGGCTATCCGACAGACTGTATAGCAAATCGCGACAGGCTTTCTAGCGACTTCCACAAATGAATCCGACAGATACGTCACGAATGGGTCGATGAAACGTTTAAACGGGCGGTCGACCAGAAATGTTAAATCGCAAATCAGAAGCCGCTATTTTACTGCAAACGTTGCACTACTAGAGTTCGCTAACAGGAGTGACAACGTCGAACTCGTTTTGATAAGCGAATTCATCAGCGGGTACATCGACAGAATATTTAAACAAATTTTTAGTGCATTAAGGCGAGCACGAAAAAGCTGCGACAGGGGCATCTGGGGTGGCGCTGGGAGAGCTTCGAGCTTTCCACTGCCCCAAGTGGTCATTTGTCAAAGTACTGGCCGAATGACGACTGAATCACTTCACAAGCGTGTTACAGCGTTACCTAATGGTTAAAAAATGCTGGAACCCCTCTTAGAATAGTCAAAAATGCTCATCGCGGTTGAACGCGCCGAGGTTTTACCTATATTCGCGACCTCAATTCGAGTGTTTGTGTAAATTCTAGGCGACTACTTGTTACGACACTTTCCATTGAATACCTGCTCGTGGCTGGTATGGAAATGGATCACTTTTAAGCCATTAATAATTTACACATCACAAGGCTACAGGCCCAACTATTCTCAACAACGACTATCGTAAACGCACATATGCCTAGCTTGTTCAGGATCTGATGGAGATGGCTAACAAATCCGCACGGAGAAAATGTGTTACCTTCTCTTTTCGTGGTAAAATTTATAGTCGAGTGAAAGTAGGGGTGCTTGGCGATTTTGTCGGTACTCAGAAATGGAGTGGTAATCGGAAAATGAAGGAGTATTCGTCGGATGCACAGAACATTGACGAGGACGTTAATACGAAACTGTTGTCAAGTGATTGTGATTAGAATTGCTGCATACTGCAGCAGGTCCAAACAACTCGAATTGAGAATCCGTGGCAAAGATATTTTTGACTTAGAGATATTATAAGGCTGATGCAAATGATTCTAGCAAAAAAATGCTCATTGTACACAAGGCTGGTGTTCTACCGTATTTCTCTAGCTTATTTATTTCCTGCACGACTTTCACCAGGCGAATGACATGATAGCGGAGATTTATGAATGGGGCCATGCAATGCAGATAATTTATAGAACTTTACTGATATTGGAATGGATCATTTCCACCACTAGTCCATTTCACTCAGAGACAAGTTTTAGGCATATCTATACATGCCGCATCCTTCTTTTGCAGGAACCACAGCCCACTC